TTGAAAGAATTGCTTACTGAATTGAGGTTGCTTCCAACGCGCTTTGTGTCAGCCACATGCAGTTACTACCAGATTTGATTGGTTCACTGTAGAGCGGTTTTCAACTGAGTGTTGTAAGTAATCAGACATTTACTTTAGTTTTGGTTTTACTACGGTTTGAGATTGGCTGAGTAGTCTAATTGGTAAGTAATTGGTTTGGTTTTGGTCTTACGACACTCAATTGAAAACCGCCCTTTTGTCAGTGTCCTTTGTGATTGGTTGGAGTGATAACTTTGGTTCTGGTTTTAAGACACTCAATTGAAATCCACATGAAAGAACCCCTCAACAGCTTTTCATCTGAATGGTGTCACACCCACTAAAGTAACACATAAGACTTATTTTGTTTTAGCAATGTTGGCCAAAGTACTCACGTATTCTGGTCGTAGACTCCAAAAGGTAATGTTCCTCTCTAGAATTCTTGTTGCAACATATAGGGGTATTTTCGTCGTCCCACTGAACCCAGCCGGATTCCATCCCCCAGGGGCATTTCGGACCCCCCCGGTAAACACAGTACTTTCCAGAAGGCCACTTGCTCCGGTAGGAGTCATTTACAGTGGATGTTTTCATACAAAATGATCGCTCGACATCTCCAAGCCGATTGACGACAGCGTTTAGGTGGAACTGGAATGTATGACTCGTCTGTGGGTCTGTGTCCTCGCAGTCTTGGTGTAGTGTTCCTGTTTTCCAGTTTATGGTCGAATTAGCGGAACAGCCGGTCAGAGCCATTGGTAAACCATACAGTCCCTCTGGCCAACCAGTCATTGCTGCAAAGCGAAACATACTTTAGAACTAAATCCAACTTCGTGCACTTCACAGCCTCTTCCAGGCGTTCTAGTTGAGGCACAGCATGCAAACCGGCGAGCGCAAAAAAGAGAGAGGGACTTGGTGCGAGGAGCGAACGAAATTTCTACCCCCAACTACAACCTCTTTCCCAGGGTACGGCGGGAGAGACCCTGGGAACGAGGTTACCCCAGCTAGTCCATCACCTGGAAGAGGCTAGCACTACATGCCGTACAATTTCAGATATGTACTGCTACTAAATCTATGTTAAAACAAGGTAGGACCCTTGCTCCATATAGCCCGCGGTAACCCACATCGAAAGCTGTTCGCACTTTACTAGCGATAGGCTATTTCGGAGTTAAATTGTGCCTCTGTTTCAAAACGAGTCTTGGTGCATGCAAAACCTTTTTTTTGAAAATGAGTTTGATTTTTGCATGAAAATGAACCTGTAAGCGGAACTCATTTTCACATGAAAGGTTTCGCACGTAGACTCGTTTTGACAGAGAGGCAAAAGGCAACTCGGATATGGCCTATTGGTGTTCTCGCCTCCTAAGTAGCTCCGCCGTTACGCAATCTTTCCTCCCCTTGGAACACGTGACGAATGTCTGAGCTGGGGTTTGGAGACAGAATGCTTAGTGTTAACTTCTTGAGTGTTGAAAGTAATTTTGTACATCACAAATATGACTTTAAAAATTGCAGCATAACTTGAGTTTCTATAGAGTGTAAAGGTTGCTGTTTACATAGTATAAACTGTCAAACTAGCGTAAAAAACCTGCCTTGAAGACCTTGAAATACTTTACAAAAAGGGACTGCTATTCTGCAAGACCCGACAAAACCAGTCGCACCGCAAATGATTCACCACTTCCGTTCTGTAGGTACCGCGAAAATCTTACATTTTCCGTGTTCCAGTCTATGGGCTGTTCTTTGTTTGTCACGTTACACTCCTTTTAACTGAGAAAGGAGTTGCGTGACGTGATGAACCAATTGCTAATAAAGGAGACTGGCAAGGAGGCCGGTTTAGATCGTGCTCCATTTATATTTGGAACAAATGTTTATTGCGACACTGAGCTCGCTGATGAAAATCAACCCGATTTATAAAAGAGCAAATCGGGTCGATTTTTCCCCTCGCGATCCCAGTTAAAACAAATAAATCAGCACATAAATTTAACCATAGCGTAGAAATTGGCTTGTGCTAATGAGCCGAACAAGACACCCCGTCAGATCTAGCTTGTCACGCGTGTGGATTGTGACTGGATTTGTAATGGTAAAGCACCTCCGAGCAGACGAAATCAATGAAAGTATAGGTATAAATCAATGGAAAATTTATTTTTCCCATTGATAATTAAAGCATACATTCCAACCGACAAAAACGGCATAGATAAACCTTTACCCAAATTTGATACCGAGTACAAAGTTGCGTTGGTATAAATGAATGCGTTAATTGGAATACTGTGCGCCACAGAATACTCAGCCTGGAAAAGATTTTGTGCACAGAAGTGTCACTTACCATGTAAACTTACTTGATTTAGAATTTTACCAAAGATTTCAGAAAAAAATCTGGGGTGTCGCAACAACGATTTACGCGGAATAGAGAAAACGCACAAAGGGTCTGGTGTATAGTAACATTTTAAGGAAATAAAATTCTTTGCACAGTACCTGCGGCATCCAATGATGATAAAAGTACTTTGAAGACGAAGAGCTCAAAAACGGCTGGCGCAAACATAACTGCCATAAAGCGGAGAATTACGCCAGCAATTTCTTGTGTTGGCTAATCCGCAGTGCTGTTGTACTGGACGGACAGTCAACGCTGTCCGGACGTACGTCAAAACAGTGAGATCAATTTATCAGTTAATTATTAGCACCAGGGACAAACAAAGTAAAGTCAGTAACGTAGTAAACTCTACATGTACTAAAATTTCATTTTTCTGTCCAAGAAAAGCTCAATTAGAAAGGTTTCTTCCATTTTTTTTACGAGAATTGATGTGAAAATAGCTCAGAAATTTTATTTTAAAATGGTAATCTCTTTAAGCATACCAGAGTTGGGCTGCAAGCTCGAGACTCAGGGCGTCGGCCTGTGATGAACCGCAGCACGCCCCTCCCGATCCCTCTATTTTCTCGTATTTTTATTCGATCGTTGAAAGCGCAGATAGAATCGCGAGAAAACTAAACGCCAGCGCAAAACGGGACACTTGACAGGGCAAGGCTGGGGACCGAGAAAAATAGAGGGGCTGTGGACTTCTTTGGAAAAAAGTAAAAAAACAGTGAATTCCTCGTTTCTCCAGAAATGGAAAATTCCCATTGGTTGAAAGGCGACAAAAGTGTGATTACAATTACCTTGACGACGGTCGACCAAGGTGGTGCTGTTAGCGACAAGGCGATAACAGGGGGAAGAGCCTAATAAGTCCACTTTTTTCCAAAGATGACTACAGCCTCTCTATTCTTCGTTTGGCTGGCTTTTTTCGCCTCACCGCCCCGACCCCACGTGCCTCGCGCTTGCTTTGCTCGCTTTTTCTTTCGCGTGCGTTGCCGAAAAATAGAGAGGCTGTGAACAATCTAAATTTTGCGAGTCTTGCATTGACTCTTCCAGAAAAAAATGGAAACATTTTAGACATTTTACGCTATTTCGCACTTACTAGTAGATATCTAGACAGAATAATAGGATGGTCTGCAATGTATACTATAGAATCGACATACAAGGTCTTAAGTGCGAGAATCTGGTCTTGGACGTCTTGGTTGCTCTCCGTCATCTCTCAAAGGTGTAAATAAACTAAGATTTTAACTTAAGCTATGCCTGAAAAATTTTTAAGATATTACTGCTTGGTGCTGGGTTTGCCTAACCATCTCCATGTAAACGTCACGGAACCACCAACATAACCCGGAAAAGATGCGGCCTTGAGTTTTAGTTTTCAGACAAAAACAAAGGACACATCCTGTGCACTGCAACCAAAGAAGATTGATAACACTTAAATGATGCACGTTTTTGAGCGAGATTTGTTTATCATGAAATTCCAATGGGCAAACCTCGCCGAAATAAACCTCCGCCTCAAATGGATAACGCTATTGTGTGACAAATGGGAGACTGCAGTCTCAAGTACCAGCGGTCATTGTTTTGCGGTAGTACTTTTCGCGATCGAAACGTCGATCGAAACATTTCTGCATCAAGTAAAACTGCTAAGATCAAGAAGAGCAGCCATGGCTGTCGTTGAAGAGAACTGGCAGACGAAACGACAAACTATCGTGGAGAGAACCACGTTTATTTTCAACAGCCAGCTTTTGAGTGATGTGAAATTTGTTGTTCCAGTGGCGACTCGCGAAAGTGAGAGTAAGGAGGTGATTCCAGCTCACAAGTTCGTGCTTGCAATCAGCAGTCCTGTGTTCTAT